TGGCATGACATAGAACCATCTTCTTGGAGTTATCCTACATACCCGTGGACGGTGGACCGTTGCGAACCTTCCGGTCCCCAGCGGCGCAGCCTCCATCGGTAATCAGCCCCACATGGCTGATCTACGTACAGTCCTCCGTCCTCAATGAATGGACCAACACGTGATGGACGTTCATTAATCACTTGCGACCTGTCTTTTCTCCAACTTCATCTTTAGCCATCTCGCCCATAGAGGAGCACTGCGCCAATTCCTTCTTTTCTCACACCCAAATAATCAGCGTTACCACTCGCTGCCGCCCACATTCATTGGAAGTCCCCGATACCTACCAGGCACCTACTCTACCAACACAAATGACCAACTCTCCGAATCACCACCAAAAGTAAACACCAAACCGCTCCCACTTCCTAATGCCAAGGCTAACCATTGTCTTTTCCCACAGACTGACCAAACCGCCCCAATAAACCACCTCCTCCAGATACACAACGGACAAGCACCAACACGATGGGCGACATCGGCGAACACTACCGAGACGTGCGAGCCGCCAAGAAGCACCGGGCGCAAAGCAGAGCCTCAACCCACCCACCGGCCCCTCAGCGGCGCTGCTGGGACTGGATGATCGTCAGCGGGAACACACACTACGCGAAGAACCGCTCCTCCTTCACGACATATCGGCGCGTCGGCCGCTCGATCCCGCGCCCGACCACGGGGGAGACGTTCGTCGCGGGAATCGGGACGGTCGAGCTGAAAGTGCGTACGAGCCGCGACGAGCCGGGGTTGCCGGATGGGACGCTCGTGCTGGAGAATGTCCTGCATATCCCCAGCGCGATCTGCAATGGGGTGTCGATCGAGCTCTCTGATGCGATTGCGGGGAATCCGGCGGGGGGGTGGGACGCGTGGGACCAGCAGGATAGGACGATTTGGTATGGGGAGCGGTTTTATGGGGGGTGCAGGCTGGTTCTTGCTGGGAATCCGCAGGGCGAGTCGTATCTTGAGGATGGGTTACATATGCTTAGTATGTATGCTCCTGAGGATTTCCTCAATGAGGTGCAAGAAGAGAAGAAAACGAGGAAGGTGAAACGCGTAAGGAGGTCATGACAGGTTCATGCACCGAGTTGGAATCTGTCGACTTGAATGATCCAGTCATTCCATTCGATGGATGTTGAGCTGATTCGTGGTTCCGTTCGAAGAAACACAGGGACCTCGGCTCATCGTAGACCAGAGTAAATTTAGTAAACAAACTGGACAAGGCTTCCTTGCTCGGCATTTGATATCCCATGAGTGATAAATCATGGCTACAGCCGGCTCTGAGCATCGTCTGAAATCTCAGAATCAAAAGCCCTGGTTGTCCCAGCAGATCCTTGACTCATAGTGCAGTTCCCCGCTCGTGTCAGCGTGGGCCAGCATGACACACTAGGTACCAGGGTACTTAAAGACCCGCTCACCATCTCCAACTCTCCAGAAAACTATACCAGGGAAAGCAGAAAAGGTAAAAGAAAAAGAAAACACGCATCAAGGGAATAGCAAAAAAAGTAAGGAGAAGAAAATGCCCGTCCAAGTCCGCTACGCGACGGAATCCCTCGTCTCAACCCTCGCCTCACTCAACATCACCTCCTTTGCGGGGCAAGGCTTCATCACAAACACCTTCTCCAACGTCGCAGATGACGCGATTTTCGAACTCAAGTGCAAGCGCTATCTCCAGAAACTCGCACACCCCAAGACTCACGTCCTCGTCGCTATAGACGAGGATACCGGCGAAGTCGCCGGGTGCGCGCGGTGGATCATCCCCGGACAAGAGGCCGGGAACCAGCTGAGCAGCGACGAAGCGGCAGCGGAGGCCGGGGCGGAACTGGTCCTCCCTGAGGGGACGAATCGCGGAATCTACGATGGGTTTTTTGAGGTGCTGAAGGAGAAGGGGGAGAAGTATTATCGGGAGGACGATATCGGTGAGTCCATCTCGAACTATCGCATTGCGATCTCAACGTTTTTGTTTTTGTTTTTTCCCGCCCTTTTCTTTTCTTTTTGTCCTGACCGATTAACCCCCGTGCAGTCCTCGAATTCCTCGCGACCCACCCAGACCACCAAGGTCGCGGCGTCGGAAAGGCGCTCCTCCGCTGGGGCATGGACCGCGCCGACAAGCAGCAGCGGCGGATCTACGTCGAGGCGACGACGCCGGGGTTCCCGCTGTACGCCAGGATGGGGTGGACGGCGCTGGACGAGGTGGCGATCGACTACGCGCGATGGGGAGGCGAGGGGAAGCAGGTGCTGACGCTGATGGCGCGCGATCCGCTCCCTTGCGCCAACTAATCCAACTGACTGATCATATGCCCGGCGCGGCCGCTGGTGCTGGTGCCAATGAGTCGCGGGGTTCCGGCACCACCTGCCGGATCTGGTCTAATGTGAGGCCCGGCGATCGATGCGTGGGGGAGGCGTCTTACATGAGGTTGTACAGTGATGCTCGGCCGCATAGAACTGCCAGGAGTGGTTAGCCGGGTTATTGTGCACTGGGATATTAATAGGGCTGCTATTCGATAGGGAGTGAAATGTAAATAATCACAATCCAAGAAGAACAGTAACCATGGACATCCAGATCCTCCCGCTCACAAAGTCGGACATTCCGCAGGCCGTAGAATGCATCCAGACCGTCTTCGCCGACGACCCTTTCTTCCTCTACATGTTCGACCAAGACACCGTACGTCTCCACCCCGAGCCTCGTCCAACAATCTTAGAACTCAATTAGGAATTGTAGTACAATCCCGCCCGCAACGCTGCCTCCCTCTCCGCCCACTTCCTCCACGGCCTCTCCATCAACGCCCCCATCTACGTCGCGAAAACCACAACAAATCCCCAAAGCCGGAATCCCGAATCCAGCTCTCGCATCCTCGGAATCTGCTGGTGGCATCCACCAACCCCAACCACCTCCCCAACCCCCCTAAACACCCGCATCCAAGACTCCCTCCTCAGCATCCGCCAACTCCTCGCCAACATCCGCTACGCCGGCCGCGGCGGACTGCACCTGCACCGCTACCGACAATGGAAGACCCTGCAGTCGCGCACGCACGCCCAGATCTGGGACGACGAGCGTGGGTACTACTTCTGCAACGTGATTGCGGTGCGGTCTGAGATGCGTGGGTGCGGACTCGGGAGGAGGCTCGTTGAGGCTGTTACGAGGAGAGCGGATGAGGAGGGGATGCCGTGTTATCTGGAGAGTTCAAAGGGGATGCCAAATCTGGCCATCTATGAGAGGTTGGGGTTTGAGGGTGTGACTGAGATTGACTGTGTGGATGGGAAGGATATTTGTACGGTATGTTCGCTGCTTTCTCTTTTTTCTACGTCCTCTTCTTCTACGATGAACGTCATGCTCTGCGTATACTAATTGCGCAGCTGTACTGTATGACCCGACCGCCGGTTACGAATAACGCGAAACGATATTGATTAACAACTCCTCGAGCCTGATTAGATAGCGTACATAAACGAAACTCCGTCCTCCTTGCCAGTTGCAGGAGCGACGAGTGAGGATCTAGAGAATAGATCCAAGAGCAATGCAGGGCAGCGTAGCACCAATGAGATCCCCGTCCTGTTTTCGTTAGCTTGCATTCGTACCATAGTCTGATACTAAAAACAAAATGAGAACGTACGGCGCTTCCGGGACTGTTGATGCAGCAGGCAATGTTCTGCTTGCACTGCTGGTTGAGGATATCCTCGACGCCGATGAGGACTGCAGTGTATTTGTTAGCATATCCAACCCAAACATACTCATCTCATAAACCATATTCTGTAGGGGATAGAAAAACATACACGAAATATCAAGCTTCGAGCACTGGGTAAAAGCACCAAGACCCTCAGCAGCAGAGCCCGCGCCGAGCAAGTTGCTCAGCAGGCCGGCGGCAAGGCCATCGGCGACAACGGTGGTGTCGGCGCCGTACTTGACCTTGTTGCAGCAGGAGAGCTGGGCCTGGTCGCCGCACTTGGAGCTACCTTCCTTGACGGTCACGCTGTCGGGCACGGGGGAACTTGATGTCCTTTGGGTCGTCGCCGCGGTTGGGGAACGCGCTGGCGGCGGCGAAGAGGGAGAGGGCGGCGACGGCGGCCGTGAGCTTCATCTTGACTGTCTGGGTTTCTTGAAATAGTTGATAGGGGGAGAGAAAGAAGGAGAGAGTGAGTAAGGACGAAGAAGAAGGAGACAATCGAGGACGGTGGCGCGAGATAAATGCCTGGGCTTGTTGTGGGCATTCCTGTCCAGGGCTGTAAACATCGCATACCAGAGACACTGATCGCTATGCTGTTTAATTGCCGTTTACTTTGCATCCCTTAGGTGCGCCGTGCCTTGCATTCCGGCGAGTCAACCGCCCGGCGATTAAGGAATGTCAAGGGTCCTGATTAGTTGCGAAGGGGGGGAGATCATCCAGGGAGACTGATACATTAATTTCCGGTTTCTTCGAGCGATGGTCTAAATTGCCCTAACAAGGGATTATGGTCAGTCTGTTGCGGCTTTTCACTCTCCAAAAATGCCTGATGACGACGCATCCTTCTGTGAGTTGGCGCTTGAAACGGCCCACCTTGCGACGAAGTCGAGATACTCATAATGCTCGGCTTCAAGAGGGAAGAGGCTGGAGTCAGAGTTGAAGTCTCAGGATACCTCAAGCACAGTCGAGCAATGGCTGTTGGCTTATCGCTAGGGCTGGAAACTTTGCGGCCCAAGCACCTGGAGATGAATGTAAGTTGAATATTAGCGGAGAAAAAGGAATAATAATAAATATATTTAGGAAATATAAGCAAAAACAAACGCCCGATGGGGGGCTCGAACCCCCGACATTGCGGTACCGGCGGAATAAGGCGGTAAAAGCCGCACGCTCTACCGACTGAGCTAACCGGGCCTCGATTGGAGGATTTTACTGCAATTAACCGCTATAGTCCAACGAAGAAAACCCAAGCATGACCAAAAAAAATGAAGGGAAGAGAAATTTTCTTTTAATTCAAAAATTTTTGGGAGGAAAAAACAACGCCCGATGGGGGGCTCGAACCCCCGACATTGGGATAGCCGGCAGAATAAGGCGGTAAAAGTCCCACGCTCTGACCAACTGAGCTAACCGGGCAACGATTAATTCGGTTTGGGTCCAGAAAATTTCATATCCAGTTCACTTAGAGCCGCTAGATTGTATTTCTCGCGACAAGGTCATTCATTCGGCAATGGAACTTCTCAGCAAGCCACGTAGGATACTCCGCTAGTTCAAGAACCTTTAGGCATATCATGGAAGTACTAGGCTATTATATACACCAGTAATGTGGTATATGTATAAGTCTACAAAACGATTCGGGATCATTCACTTACAATATTGAAGCATGGTTGGCATGTTTATTTATATAATGACCTTGCATTCACACACGCAAACTCACAGGGGAATTCCCCTTGCCGGACAAAGAGCATCTTTTGGTGACTGCCCTATTTAAAAGTGCTCAGAATCCGACCTTCAGTTGCCTTCTCAACCTCTGCATCTTTGCTTCTGTTACAACAGGCAGAAACCGGGCAACAACCAGGCCAGCGGGGGCCTCGCACCATACAGTCTTCTATTATCAAACTCATCATGTTCTATCTGGCTGTCTTGCCATCTACACTATCCCACCATCATGACGCCTATCTCTGGCATTCCGTAATTCAAAGCTCGTTTAGCCCAACAATTCAACAGCTGAACCAAGCCGGTTTTTCGCACGAGGGTTGTTTGTTGCTTGATCGTGTCTTGCTTGGGAAGAGACGATATCGACATATACACTTTATACTACCTCGACGACATCCGCCACTTTTGACGAGAACATCGCTCTAGAAATACGACGGCAAATGATGACCGTCGCTGAGATTTGGTGGCGGAAGCCCGTGAGTGAGAGGATAGTTGAGTCCGTCAACCTTGTGCCTCTCCCCTTGTGGGGGAAGTACAAAGACGTGACTCTTCCTCTAGAATACGACAACAGCAAGTTCGTGAGATTCGTCATCGTTGCACACCATCCCCAATTCTTCTGCTATAGGACGACATCCAGCGAAAGCGGCGGAAAGTGGCGCAGTCTATACGGAAGATAGCAGGATCTGCTTCTCACCGTCGCTGTAGGGCCAGGCGGGATTGCCTACGACACAGGATTGTACAAGTGTCGACATAGCCCTGGTGCGTACGGGCGCATTAGCGCCGCGCAAAAGGCAGTCAAAGAGCGTCTGACTGGCGAGGCGCTGGCACAAATGGGAATAACCTCACCGGAACTGTTCAAGGAGATGGAGACTAGGAGAGCGAGCTCGCTTTCCTGGGATGCACTAGAATACGCACCGGAGATTGAGAGAACGGTGGCACCGGTGGCAGCCAACACTACTGCCCAGGGTGGCTTCTCAGCAGTAAGTTCTTATCGACTACCAATAACAAGGTCAAAGATGTTAAACTTGGTGTTAGGTCATCTCTTACGACACTGATATGCGGCGGCTCAATGACTCCTTGTCGGCTCTTAGCCTGGCACTCACGATAAGAGTGTTCTTTGCTCAGCACTATACCCACGGACCTGGCTCTTCAATACTCCAAGCTGGCTTCGATATCCGAGTTTGAATTATTACCTGCAGCTTTAACAAGTTGGATCCAGAGCCAGGAAGGTCTGAAGATTTAGGGCAAGCCCATCAGTACGAATTATGAGCTTGTCGTAGTTTTGGCAATGGGCCATGTATTATATCCTTATATCTATGTGCATAATGAGTGTATACTATGTGCTTCGCCAGGCTAAATAGCCAACCCATTCAACAAGAGCCAGACCACCACAGGCCCCAACTCTATATACATCCACCCCAAAAAAACCACTCAAATCTACTCCCTAAACTCCTTCACCCACAAGTTGACAGCCTTGTACTCGCTGTTATGCGACCCATACCAGTAAATGGTCTTCTGCGGGTTGCTTCCGTAGCCGTCGACGGCAAAGTAATCCTTGCCGGCATGCTCAAAGTACCCGTCGTCGGTGACGCCAAAGTCGTTGATGCTGGCGCCCTCGGGGACGGCGCCGGAGTGAGGGCGCGTCAGGCTGACGGGGAGAACGTCCTTCTCCACGACGTAGAGGTTCTGCCAGCCTGTTGGGACGGAGTTCTTGGATGTGAAGCTCACGGCGCCGGTGTCGGGGGTGGAGTGGACTGCAATGGTTAGGATATGTACAGGTAAGGTTTTGTGGGGAGTGGGAGGTCTTACAGATGGCGATCTCGTTGGTGGTGCTGTTGCCGTTGACGTAGAGGTACTCTGTGAGGTGTTAGAGGCTTCTTGCTTGGTCTGGAGAGAGATCGTGAGTACTTACGGCCGTCAGTGAGGACGGTGTAGCCGCCATCCGCGACGAGGGTAAAGGCCGAAGGAAGAGTAGCGGCAGAGACGGCGCTGGCAAAGGCAGCGATGGTGGCAAGAGAGAACTTCATTTTGCAGAGATGTATTGAGTAGGTGTTTTGTTTTCGATTTAGATACAGAACCCGAGAGCATCAAGCCGCGTCCATCCGGGTTCTTATACCCATTCCAAGTTCCTTCCGTCAACCAGGAGTCAACCCTGAACCAGCGGTGTCGAATTGACGTCAAACTAAGACATGTATCAGCCGACGGTTGCCCGAGCCGTTCTAGTCCGGTCCACGGTTAATTTCCAATTGGCTTAATTGCACCTAACCTGTCGATCCCTTGAGGCAATTGCTGGGTTGTTCTCCACGCGGGCTTCTAATTCTGGTCGCAGACCCACTACATTCACCATTTGCCCCGAGTTCCCGTGGAATTACGTAGTAGTACCTTGGTAGAGTGAGCACATCATAGCTGGCTACGTATTGTAGCTATTGCTTAGCGGAGGAAAATCTAATTATTGAGGTATCGGCATACCGATGTATGTCAACAAAGTACGGCTCCGCGTTGAGCTTATTGCGGAGAAAAATTTTGCTCGGGATGCGGCAAAGGATATTTAGTTATCGCTTGAATCTCGCAGCCCAGAAGACTGGTATACTTTGACACTAAGTGATTTGAAGAAGAACAGTAGGAATGAGTACGCGTGGCTCGAACCGCGAGAGAGAGAGGCGGACGTTGAAGCGCGTCAAATGCCTCCAGTCCAGAGTGCGTATAGATCTACGCACTATCTACACACTAACGGCGGGTTCGAGTACGACTTATTTGGCTGGTTGATCGACTTCAATACTCCCCACGGCCTGTCTAAGATCTCGCTTCACTACTTCCCATTTGCGGAAAGTCCGAAGCGAGAGACGGAAGGGTGCATTATGTCGAACGCTTTTGGAGCAGTTGAAAACCAAGCTGCTTGTCTGCTGCCTAGGTTAGGAAGCGTTACCATATAAAATCTGATCCATTGACTATGAAGACCAACTGAACGGAAGTTGTCACTCTACCCTAGGTAGTAGTCGCTCAGAAGTATGACGAAGAATGGATGAGTTCCTTGATATTCCTAATAATCAATAGATGACCATTCCCTCGATATAACCATGATGTAAATGACCTATTCCTCTAAAGACGTACGAAATCTATCCTAGAACCTATAGAAACAAACACACCAACGCCCGGATCCATGTTTATAACCCCTGAAGCAGCAAACAAGTACAAGACCTTGAGGTCCTACCTCAACCCTGAACAGCAACAGACCCACTCGCCACCGCAGACCCCGTCAACTTCCTATTAATCTGAAAGCGAAGGACCTTATCCGCATCAAGCTCCGCCGACTTGAAGTACCGCTGACCGGAGTAACTAGACCACACCAAACAGATTAGCGAACCGTCCCCATAGATCCAAGAATAGGAAAATGGCAGCGCTATACCTCCAATGAATCAACCCCGCTGCAAGATCCCTACACCCTTGCGTAAACGCCGCAACGACAGCCTGAGAACTGGAGCTATGGCACTCGCCGAGCCCGCGCTGCAGATTCCGTGCTGCGGTCTCCATACTGGCGACGTTGTCCTTGGCGTATTTGTAGCTTGTCTGCATGGCCTCATTGATCGTGATGCCTTCATTGAGCATTATTACTGGGACGAGGTTTTCGATTTGGCCGTCGGACTGTGAGAGTTAGTATTGTTTTAGTCGACGATAGAGGGGTGGAGTGACTCACTAATTCTTTTCGGAGGGAGATTATGTCATTTGAGCTGTTTTTCAGCCATATTAGTGGTGATCGAGCCCAAGCAAGACGGGTGAAGGAGGCGTACATGTGGACGAGATAGGAGGTGGACTTCCAGAGCTCCCTCATTCGGACATTGGATACATCGGTCTGAGTGATATCAACACCGTAGACAAACCTGACACAATAGTTAGCTCGACGGGACTCATGATGCCCAGAGAATGGTAGAACGTACGGAATCGTCGCAATACCCGGATAAATCCCAGCAGCGTAGTCCCTCCGAGCCCAGTACGCCTCGAGAGACGGAAGCTTTCCATCTGCGAAGAGCTCATTGGCGTCGCCGACTGCTTCCATATACTCGAGCATGGCCTTTGAGAGGATCACACGGGTGGCTAGCTGTTATATTAGCGATGGAGTTGCTTCGCTAGAATTTGCGAGCATACCGTGTGAGCAGACCTCGCGGATGTGCTTGCCAACTTCTTCCCAGCATACTAGCGTGTTCTGCAATTGTGATGGGTATACCGAAAGATCTGGACATGCGTGTTCCGGAAGAAGTTGATGTTGAATGTACTGCATGCTTGCTTGTCTGTAGTTGTTGATTTCAGAGTCGCTGCTCCCCTGTAGAGCACCGCAGTCGAAGACTTTTGCCGGTTAGAGATGGTATGTTTCCAGTAGACGATTCACACTTACTGTCATCCCAGATATAGTACTGTTCCAGTTAGCCTTAGACCTCAAAAGGAGAGATGAGATAGCCTACCCAAGCAAAATACTTAGCAACAGTGCAGAACCGATCGAACGGCGCGTCTGCGCAGAGTACAGCAGCAAAGACGCCAAACTCGGCTTTTTGCAGTTTTCGGCAGGTCATGGCATCATCGACCCAGCTTTCAGGGACGTTAGTTAAGAGTCGACAGCGAATACAATTAGATATGGCGACTGACCGGCGGATCCACGGATTCAGGAACTCATCTCTCGCCCGCTCATACTCGGGATGGATCTTGGA